ACTCCGTCCGCCATTTTCCGGGTCAAATATTTTTTTTTCAATGATTTTTTGCACAATTCTGAAATATTCGGAAAAATTCGGTTGCAAAAATTTTTAATGAAACACAAATGAGGCGCACCCCGATAAGCCATCACTCTCAGCAATTTGTAAATTTATTTCGAAAAACATATCTTCCTTCTTATTCAACCCTTGAGCAGCAGCAGCAGGCTTTTTTGCATTGCGCTGCAGTGCTGGGATATTTTTGCAGGCTTCTGCATTTCAGTTTGACCAGAGGTTGACAAAACTCAGCTTCTTTGGCTGAGTAGCCAAAGTTCAGAAAAATCCTGCAAAAATAAAGTCATTATTCTGATAATACCCCAATGCTAATCCTATGGGAGGAATGCAGAAAAAATGCCAACAACAGTAATTTTTTTTCTTTTCCTGCAGGAATGCTGAAAAAATGCAGGATTTTTCCTAGCTTTGGCTCATTTAATCATTTTTGTTTCTCCCTTTTTTCTACTCATTGTGGCACAACATTTTGCAGATAAATCCTGGCATTGCTGCCCAAGGGTTAATGATGTTAACATTAGAAGCCATAAGTTGAAACACCGTGCAACATCTGCCAAAATTATTGACAGCTCAAATATGCTTCTGTCAATTAATTTTATCTTTGATAGCCCACCAACAAGATTCAAGTTTCTGTGACAGGTCTCAAATGGAAAAAAAACGTCAAACATGAAGATGATATAATTCACTTCCTGGGAATATTAGCTTGATATAATTTATACATCCAAGGGCAATTGAGATTGTTTTTGGTAGAAATACATATTTTTTTTCTAGTATACCTGGGTTTCATATTATTTTGGTTTTTAGAAATCATTTTATAAGATATGTATGTTCAGACTTAGGTTAAAAATGTTCATTTTCAAACTTCTAATGTAAATAAGACCACATGGAATTGCATTGACCCCACATGGCTTTGGGTTTTCATGAGACTTGTGGCACTGGTTTCCTGCGATGCTGGCTACAGTTTGAAGAGTGTGGTTTTCCATGGTGCTGAGCTTCACCACCATGTGGTTTGTGAACTGTTGCCAGTGTTTCCAGCCCAGGGTTGTTGATTGCAATCAAAAATTCAGTTGCCGAATCAAAATCACTATTTGTCCTGAACTTTTCCCAAACAAATATGATCAAAACTGCAATCCCTGCTTCATGTTGAAATTATTGCCCATCCAGTTGAAATCACAAGCATGGCAATTCAAATTTGTTTGCTATTGGACTGAATTGTGTTGAAATTACTAACCCTGCAACTGTTTTTGGAACCAAGTTTTGAAGCTGCTCACCTTTGGGCATTTTTCTGAAACACTTCCACAAGCGTCAAAACACTTGGAATCTTAAAACAGCACTTCCTGTAATTTTTATGGGAAATTTTCTGGATTTTCTAGTACTGTACCTTTGGAACAGTGAAAAAATAAATATTTTGTGCTCAAGAATGACTGAAACCAGTGCAACAAGAAACTTTTTTGTATTTCAATGGATACAGTGCCAGATTTGTAACACAGAAAGTGTCCTCATGGAATCAATATCCATTTGCAATTTTCTTGATTTTTTTCTTGAATTTGAATTTGGATCACTTTGATTTTACTGCAGTAATGCAGTGTCCTTTTTGCCTTGGTGGAAATCTTGAAGCTCACTTCCAAAATTCAGTGGACCTCTGGTTTAAAAAAAATCTTGGATCAACACGCATTCCACCTATAGCAAACATTCCCTCATAAACAAAGAAAAATTTTGGTCACAAACTGCTCACCAAAAAAATTCCTCACTTGAAAAATGAAAACAAAATTTTCACGGCAGGAACAGATGATACCTATAATGATCGCGAATTTAATTTTTGCATTGAAATGCAAATGCATACCTTATAATTTGCGTCGTAGTACGTGCGTATTTCAATTCATGTTGTGATTCTCACTGATTCACACAGGTCAAGCAAACACACGTAACGGAAACTATTTAGTAAACGAACTGTGCCATTTACAAGAAAACCTTGCACAACCACAAAAGATGTAGGCTGCTGTAGGCGTCACAGGTTTTGATGCAATCCACCATAAATCTTGCCGTGAATCATTTAACGGAAGAATACCTTCGCTTTTCTTTGCAATGCAAAGTATGAAAATTCTTCAGTTGAAGTTGAGACTTGGGACAATACGGTTCTTCCGGCATTATTTTGAGCATGGTCACAGAAAATAAATCCGTCTGCCTTAATTTTCCACGTCTTGATGATCGTGGTCAATCAATAGAAGTCCACCTTTAGTCACAAGTTTTTGAAAGAATTCAGAAACCCAGTATTTTTGGGTACAGCTGCATATTTATGGAATCAATGGCGCTCTTCAAACCAGAAAATACGTTCATAGAAATTCTGCAAAGTATGAGTCATACTTTCGTTCAATATATTAAATTGCATGTTATGACGCTAATCCCTTTTTCAAGTTTTCTTTCGAAATGAAAGTTTTTTATAGAACGGATCCTTGAAAAAATTTCATCCGTTCGTAATTAAAAGCTATGAAGGCCAACTGAGACAAAATTATTTTCCATGTTCGGCCCTGTGAAATCACGACTCCTGGCCAGATAAACTCATCCTTGATTCTCATCCTGATTTCTTTAAAAAAATATTTCTCTGTTCGATATAACAAAATATAATAATAGATAAATATAAAACACGTGTAGTACAACGTTTCGACCGAACACACCGCCTGAAGTGACTCTAAAGACGTAACTAGTTCATGATTCCTCTGTTTCATCAGGGCCTGTTTTAGACGAAACATCTAAAAAAAAAAAAACGATCTAAAAGGAGGTGTGTCAAGAGCAACTTTTGTAAAATCGGATAAAATTAGGTTCATAATTGATCACGTGATAAGTCGGGCCTCTGGTTCCTGGCTTTTTAAAATAACCGGTCCTCATTTGCAATTAAAAGCAGGAAAGAAAAAGGAATAACTTCGAATACGGAAATTGAATCGTTGCTGCGCAGATATTGTTGCGAGTTACTCAATATGTATAGGAATCAAAAGCTTAGAATATTTTTGAAAACCAAAGTGATTTTTCTGTTCTCATGAAATCATTCATTGCAAATACGAAAAAACACGTGGTTGGAAGTTGGGGTTTCAAGGTAATTTCCGCGTATTATTACTACAGGAAAAGGGGGCATTTTGATCGATTTACTAGGGGTTATTCCACGGTTCCGCGCGAATCAATTTGTTGCTGCTGTTTTTTGGGGCAGCTGCAAAATGTAGCAACTGAACATTTCAAGGCCTCCCACGGATCAAAAGGCCTGAGAAGTGTGTGAAAATTGGTGGTGATTACGTTGAGAAGGTGTCTTCCTATAGCCTCTTAAAACAAGTAAACATGAGAAAAATGTTTTTTTTTAATCCCTGATGTTCAGAACATTTCGAAGTCCTCGCCGGAACGAGTCCGCGCGGAAATGTGTAACCACTAGGACACTCCTACACTTGGTCAGGAAAATTTGAGAGAAATACAGTGAGACCCCCACATGCGGACACCTTGACATGCAGACTATTTGACATAGGGTCACTTATTTTCCACAAAAAAAATCACAAAAAAGGCCCAGCATGAGGACACTGACTCAACACAGGGACATTTTTTGATAAAATTGCAAATACGTTTCAGGCCAAATTACAAGAAACAGATACAGTATTTTGAACCCTAAAATTGATGTGAGAAAAGTACATGGGCATTTCTCTCACCAAATTACCATCCATTTAGCTAATTTAAAAAAATTACCTCCAGCATAGAGGGACTTTTTTCTCATTTTTCACTTGAATGTTATTTTCACAGAAAATGCCAAAATTTATATTCACTGTACAGATGTATCAGTATTCAATTCCCCAAATGTACATAATTTGTTGAAAAAAATTGATTGGAATCAGTTTCAATTGGGAGAAAATTTTTATTTTCATGGAATTATGGTGAGTATTTTGTCCATACAAAACACCAATTGAAAATTACATAATGTAAGGCTAAGTATTGAAAATAGGCCTCCAACTTAGGTACATTTCGACTTTAGGACACTCTTGATGCACCAATTATGTCCGCATCTTGGGGTCCCACTGTATTCTTCCTTTCTCAGCATATTTCACACAAATTTCCAGACGATTTTGTTTCCGCAACTTTCCAGATTCTGCCTCGGCAAACAAGCCAGCGATTTCCCGCCCGGATGCTCGGGAATATTTCGTCACGCGAGATTCCTGCCACCAGATTAAACGGCACTCACGAAAACCGCGATCGCTTCGAGTTTTGTCGATTGAAAAACAATCACTCCGAAATCACTCATTTTTGTCTTCTGTTGCTATACGAAAAAGTAATGGAAGGAAAAGGCACTTTTTGGTCAAGAATCTCAAGATCCACGAGCACAAGGAAGGAAACCTGTTCGAAGTGTCCGCGGAGTTCGAATTGAAACGTTCCTCCTTTCGTATGCGGCTGATACGCGACTGCGAACAAAAACCGTTCAACCCCAAGGGGATGTTGTAATGGATGCATATTTCTTCATCATTTTTTGTTGTTGTTGTTGGCGGCAGAAAAAAAGAGGCTTTTCGAATTACTTATTCAAAAAGAAAGGAAAGAAACCCCGTCTCGCGTTGAGTGACTTGATTGCGCACTACAACTGAAACTCCTTCCAGATGAGACCAGCAGAAAAACTTCACGTGTCCGATTTTTGGGTAGGATTTTTTATTTGTTTGACGATTTAAATCGAATTTGAGTTATTTTAGCTTTATATTTTTTCGTACATGAGGGCAGAGATGATGAAGATAAATCAATTCGGAGGTAAACCATCGAAATTCGGGGTCTGCATATAAGCTCTGATTCTTCACTCACTAGTTCATTGTAAGCAAATCTATGCTTACTATAGGAATGCCAATGAAAAAATAAACAATTACGAAAAAACCCCGAATTATTTAAAAAGAACAAAAGCATCTCAAGTCACTCGAAAAGGCAGAAAAACAAGATTGACCCGGAGATACTCGACAATCGGGTTATTTATTCATGCAGAAGGACGATTATTCTAGCCAACAACGAACAAACAAAAAATGAAGGAAACGTAAGAGCTTTTCTAGCAACAACAAGTTGTTTACGTTTTAATCCTCGAAACTTTTCTCCATCTCCGAGGGCAATGTTCCGTCCGCATTAATCTGTAGGTTACTCAACGGATTAACCTTCGATGGCTACTTAGAAACCCCACGGAAATATGGTAATATTATTGGCAATTTATGTTCTAGAGATTCATGCCTTAGAAAATTTACCTGATGATCGTGTTTCTAGGAGGTTTCTACCCAAACTGAAAAGCCCTTGAGGAAATGCGATCACTGCGGTCGTAAACCTCGGACTGGGAAAGACCCGAAGATAAACATTCAATTAAATGCGTCATTAAATGGTGAGATTCACTGGGGTAACACGTTTTCGCGCGGACTTTAGATGACCTGAATCACTGGGATTATTAAAAATATTTTTCTCATATTCACTAGTTCCAAAAGAAGCTAGGCAGACATTTTCTGTGTCATCACCACCAATTTGCAACACACTTCTCAGCCCTTCTCATCCATGTGTTGAAACAGGCTTTGAAAGGTACAATTGTTAAATTTTGAAGCTTCCCAATAGAACAGCAGCATAACAAGCTGATCCGCGCGGAATCGTGTAACCCCTCACATTGATTTTGAGTATATTCCTAATTGTCAGTTTATGTCAGTGACAAGTACACTTGTTACTTTTCCAAGAGGCATCAATGATGATAATATTTAAAAGTGATACATTTTCAATTTTTGCTGAAAGGTCTGCAAAGTGTGAAAATCCTGGATCATTTTTCAAATGTATAGTCTGGGCATATTTGTTGTGGAACCAGAACTTGATCCCAGGGATGTGAGGTCCCAGGACCTGAATTTTGGTCCCATTTTCCTTTGTGCATCCATCTCCTGGATGCATGACTTCTTCAAAGCACATTTTTCTTACCAATCACAGGTGGGGGGAAAAGTTGCATGCTTTGGTCAGGTGACCTGACAAAAGCATACTGCTGAAATTGTTTGAAAACCCAGCATGCTTCCACTCCCAATAATCAGTCCTTTAATTTAGCTCTTACCTTAAAATTTCCTCAAACAATGCAACTCCAATTCTTTTGATTGTATTCTTGCATTGCATTACAGCACCCAAAACTTGTGCGCACAAATTTATTGTATACAGTGTATGTATGTTGCATTATTGTATTTATTGTGATGGATTATTTTTGTCTTGTGTTTCATTGTGATTTATTGTGGAATGTGGTTAAACCAGACAAAACTAGGGATATTTGATTGAGGTACCTCCTTGATTATGTATTTCCAGCCACTAACTGGCTAATTGCCCTGCCTTATCATTTCTTACCATTTCTTCCACGGTGCTATGGTTCAATTCCTCATGTTGGGTTGATTAATTCCTCAACAACATTTTTTGAGTTTGAAGTGGTTTCATGTCCAATTTTCTATATTTTTGTGCCCACTGTATCAAGTGATCATGAATGATTTATTTTAAACTGTATTTATTTATTTTCCACAGATGTGCTCAATGCTTTAACTAATCTCGAAAGCAAAGAGAAACGAGGTCAACTGGCCATGAGTTCCTTGCAAAAACCCTTCCTTCAGCAGGCTCTGCATTTTCAACATCAGCTCGCCGATGCTGAGTTGATGAAAACCACTCAACCTCGGTTCGCACTTCCTCCTGTTTTCCGGTCACAAAAACCTGCTAATGCCAAAGTTAGTCCCGGAAATACTATATATTCGATACTCCCACTGAACCAAAATCCACTGAGTTGATGAAAACCACTCAACCTCGGTTCGCACTTCCTCCTGTTTTCCGGTCACAAAAACCTGCTAATGCCAAAGTTAGTCCCGGAAATACTGTATATTCGATACTCCCACTGAACCAAAATCCATATCACCGTATGCCACCATTGCAAAACAAAATCAAATAACATTTTATACTGATTTTTTTTTAGACACGCAAGAAATCAGCGAATAAACGGCAGTCTTTTATCAGCAAGTCTAATGCTGCTGCAGACGGATCAGTTCCCGGAATTTATTCACTGAAAGGATTGTCTCAGCAGCAAGCGATTTTCGAAAAAGACTTCTTATTGAGAGGGATTTATCAAAAATATTCGCAAAGAATTCCCGCAGGCGATTTTGGAAAATCGTCCAATTGCAAAGAATCTTCGGCATCTCCATCAGCTGCTGATGATGAGAATGACCAACAAAAGGTAAGAGCCCATATGATCAAAACATCTTGATGAATACTGTATATGGAAAAATCGCATACTGTATAACGAATGAAATAGCTTTTGTCCATGTCAATTATGATTCAGGTGATCCTGCATCAACTTTAAGCAGAAAATGTAACTTTTAAAATTTGTTTTGTCTCATTTTTCACTATAATACTGTATCTAGTAATACAGGCTTCAATGTGCCCCAAGTGGGGAAATTGGTGCACACTGGGGATGTGTCAGTATTTCTGCACAGTGACCCTGCTGAGCACCTGAAGTGTACCAAAGTTTTTTCTGTTGCACATGTTAATCCCTGATGTGCACCAATTGTGTGTTCACACCACGGTTACTCAGGGTCACATTTGTAATAAAAAAGTTACACCAAGGTTACAGTTGGTGCATTTTTGTGATACTTGTGCTATGTCACATTTGTGCACCAAAGGTAGCCCTGGAATGGTAGCAAAATTGTATCCACAGAGGTGCATGCTTGTAGCCCCAGAATAGCCCATGTAAATCAGTTGTGATCCCAGTCATCTGCACCACCAAAGTGGGGAAATTGGTGCACACTGGGGATTTGTTTGAAATTCTACACAGTGACCATGCTGTGCACCTGAATCATAATCGACATGGACAAAAGCTATTTCATTTGTTATACAGTATGCGATTTTTCCATATACAGTATTCATCAAGATGTTTTGATCATATGGGCTCTTACCTTTTGCTGGTCATTCTCAACCTGTTATTTCACATTTGTGCACTAAGTGTAACCCTGGAATGGTAGAAAAATTTCCTCTACAGGAGTGCACACTTGTAACCCCAGAATATCCCATATGCGCCAGTTGTGACCCTGGTGTGCACCTACTGTGGGGTCACAGCAAAAATAGCTCCCCACTCAGGCAGTTGTGGGGTCACACAAAGAATGGCTCCCCACTCTGGGATGATGCCGTAAAAAAAATGCCTGCCTTTTGAAGTGACATAAATGGAAAGCAGTACATGTCCTTTAAACCCCCAACAAGGCACATCCATTGGTTTTAAAAATTAATATCACTTGAAAAATAGCAATTTTTTAAAACCGAATCATTGGAGCCTGTACTACTAGATATTGTACACTACTATACCCTTCTGAAACGAGGCAAGTCCCTGTATATGCACACTTCTTGGCTGTATACATAGCTGTAATATCAGAATGAACTGACAAATAAATCCTCTATTGCAGAGAAAGGATTCTAAGCTGAGCTACAGAGATAGTGGATCATCCACTGAAAGCTACACTATGAGTTCAACTGCCATCACAGCACATGCTGACGTTCCTGACGCGCAAAATGGAAGTAAGTCTCAACAGCGTCCTCAAGCGGCGATATTCCTCGCTCCAAACTTTGAAAACTGTTATCCCTCACTCCAGGTGTCGCTCGCAGCCCCAAATCCTCGTGCAAGCAGCGCTGTTTCAAGTGTCCATCGACACAAGTGGTCATAACGCTCACGCAACCTTCGTCTCCTCATCGTCGCTCAAGCTCAGGGAAAGAGCAGAAAGTGTTTGGCTCCCCATCTGACGATTTCCACCAGAAATCCTCGTCGAAACGGGGTTCATCCTTGTTGCAATCGTCATTACCGAAAGGATCAAGCCACGTCATGGCCGAAGCTTTCAAGCAAATTGGAACGGAGAATATGGCTGCCCCGGAACCCGGTTCTCAGCTCGGAGTTGCTGCTGGTGACTTGAACCCGAGACCCGACCTCATTGCCGCTTTTGACGAAGAAGAAGTAATGATCTTTTTATAAATTAAAATATCATTTGAGGTAGTTGAGGTTCATTAGACAGAAGCTATAATTTTCTCGTCTCGACGATAATTAAATCGATGACATGGGGTTTGTATTTTTAGAAAATTGTTTTCGATTGCTCTGGAATCTAGAGAAGTATTTTGAAAGGATTCCATATGCATGGCTTGTGTTGAAAATTGGTAAATTAATCATTGTGCATCAAATACGCTTCCCAGGATAGCTTAGATCCTTACAAAATCATGGGATAATTTTATAAATAAAGTCTTTTTCACTTTGCAGCGGAAAATCGAGGAAAAGCCTGGAAAGAAGTCCACAAAGAGATCGGTAAAAATTTACCGAGAATTTTTGAGAAAATGCCACTATAAAAAACACCATGGAAGAAAATGCCGCAGAAATGGATATACTTTTATGGACTCATTTCTGGATATAAAATTACCTAGAAATTAATTTTCAAATAAATTTGTATTTGAATAGTGACGAAGAGGAGAAGGGGTTCTGGGAACGTTTTGGGAATAATCAAGAGCTCAGGAAGTCGTCGGTAATGGCAAATAAAAAAGTTTACAGCTCTGAGTAATTTTTTTTTTTCGAAAAATATAGAGGTACAGTATATTTAATCCTATCAGGAATTTTTCGAGCTCAACCTAGAAAACAAAACAAGTCTTGAAAACTTCGGGTCAGCATTCCAAGACATTTACATGATTTTATTCATTTATTTGTTAAAATCCTCTGTGTGTGTTTTATTCTGAAAAATTCCACATGGATTGAATAACTTTATGATTTTTTGATCGTCTTTTTCGATCATTTTCTCGTCAGCCCAAATGCTGTTCATAAAATTTCGCCTCTTGAAAAAAAAATACTGGTTAATGCATCGAGAAAAGTTTTATGAAGCCCTCGGCAGCATTGCAAATCTGTGCAGGCTCTTTTTTCATGAAAAATTGTCAAATTTTTCTGAGTTCTTCATATTTGAGTTATCCTTTAGATGCCAGAAGGTTTTGAAAAATAAATTACGTGCCTCTCGACGTTGAAAATTCTTTCTACCATCTTCCTTTTGATTCTAACGTTCAATTTTATATTTTCATTCTTTAGTAGAGATTTATCAAATTATTTGATGATACAAAGGAACGTACTGCTGAAGATGATTCCAGAAATTATTTTTCTTGACACTGCTTTGTTAAAAACAAAACTGAGGAAAGTGTCATTTTCGTGGACAATAACTGACCAAATTTCTAACAAATTCCTTCCAAAATGAAGTGCAGTACTGACAAACTGCACACTTTTTGGATGTCAAATATGTCATTTCAGAAGATCGATGATGGTGCACCTTTATTATGGGTGCATGTAGCATAAAATGAAGTCCTTGCAATTTTTTTTCAAAGCACATATATTGCATACTAGTACTTGTGATAGTTTTTTCTGAACGTACTACTGCGGCATTTTCTTTCCTGGCCCCGAGAAACCCATCCATCAGTGATATGACTTGAAAAAGGGGTGAATCGGTCAATGGATTTCTCTTCAGAAGAGAAGGAGAAGTACTTCGACCAAGAAATCAAACCGGAAATTGAGCAGAAAACGGCAGCAACGACCAAAGTACCGCTTGACTCACATTTACGACCAGCTGAACAATTCCTCGGCTCCCATCAGACACGACATGGACATTGTGTCTCTCATAAAGGCGATCACTGAAGAGAAAGATCGTGCCAAATATCAGCAAAACACGGCTTTCATTCAAGTACAGCGTGCTTTTCAAATTTCATTAATGTAAACGCTATTTTTGGATAATTTAAATTTACCCAGGAAGCAGCCTTAGTTCTTTCCATTCATGTTTCAAACCAAGTAAGAGTTTCTCTGATTTTTTTTAGAGAGAAGTGTTCTTTTTACTGAAATAAAAAATTAAAATCTTTTTGCAACTTGAGATCGGTTTTAATTTGAAAACTTTCATCATTCTGCCGGTTAAGATATACGTTACCCTGAATAATTCAACGTGATGGAAAAATTTTTGAAATGCATATATAGTCATAATTTGATCACAATTACGTTCATTTAGGATTCAGAATTTTTTTTGCTGTTTATTTGCTGGTCTTTTCGAAAATTTTTTGAATTTTGGACATTTTTTCCGTGGGTGAAATTATGTTTGCAGCAAGAGGGGGGGTTTTCTTATCCTTATATTAGTTTTCATTAGATGAATTAACACAAATTTAAATTCAATAAGAGTTTGGTTCGAATTGTCTCATTTTTTGTCCAAAGTTATTTTGGATATGTTCGAAAATCCTCATCATTTCCATTTTCGTTCAAATTGATTTATCGTTACTTGAAAGCTAAGATGGTAAGATCCACTACTAAAATTTCAACAATAAAGAATAATTTCCTCCAGCTTCCCGAAAATTTCGTCGCTATGTACTGTAATGTCACGCGTTCAGAAATGTCTTTTTCTTTTTCTTCTGAACTTAAGAAAATTAATAAAATTAGTAGGAAATATAAAAATTGGGGGAGAAATTTTTCAGAAGTGACACACGTGTTTCACTTTCCGGTAATTTTCGTGTCCACCTCCGCAAACATCAATCCATCATAGTATATCAGGCATTGTGGAAAGAGGCTGAGAATAAGAATTTTAACCCGCCGCTGGCCAAACATTTCTCAGGGAAATAGTTTCAGGCGCCTGCATTTCCTGAGTGGCTTCCCGGTACTCAAGGGGTAGTACCTAAAATTTATGCTATTCGGTTGCCATTTCACCAACAGAGAAAATTAAGAATCTGGTTTCTCAGGCATGAAAGATTAAAATTGGATGGTCAGACATGCACTTCATTATGTTTGATACATCAATCGCTGACGATTAACCCGTTGCGAAAATGTAATGTAAAAAAAAACAAGGAAGGTATCAGCAATATTCCGGTGATATTCTGATTATCTGTAAAAAAAAAATAAAAATAAAGGTTGAAAAATCTTTCCCCGTTCTCATGAATTTCTTCGAAGAAAAATTCTAGTCGGATGAAAGATATGCAGCGTGTCTCTGCAGGACGAAAGTAATCTGGTTTTTTGTGACTTTTATTAAATGCTTTTTTCTTTTAAAAGTGCTTTTTTCTTGAAAAAACAATTTTTATGAAGTGCTGTAAAATTTGCCTCTCTGAAACGATCAAAAACTGTGTTGAAGCCACAAAACATGTGTTTTCCAGCATATGTGATGATTAAAAAGTTAAATTTCAACATTGAAAATTGCTGACGTGAGAAAATACATATTTAGAATGCATGCATTTTTTGCAGCACAACATTTATATTTTCTGACTTACCAGATCAACATTTGAAAAATGTTGGCTTGTCCAAATTTGCTAGAAAAATACTCATTTAGTGAAAAATAAAGTGTTGAGCAAACAGACTGGAAGCAACCCATCGACCCTCCAAATATAAACCATTTAACCCTTGGGCAGCAGCATAGGTCCTTTTCCATTGCACAAATGCACAGCAGTGCTGGGATTTTTTTGCATGCTTGTGCATTTTTGTTTGACCAAAGGTCACTAAAATGCAGCTTATTTGGCTGCATAGCCAAAGTTCAGAAAAATCCAAGAAAGGGAAAGCCATTATTCTGAAAATCCCTCAATGCTAATCCTTTGGTAGAAATGCAGAAAAAATGCCACCAAACTTTATTTTAATTAAAAATTTCAGCAGGAATGTTAAAACATATTTGTAATTTTTCCCAACTTAGACTTTCCTAATACTTTTTGTTTTCCAGTTTTTTTTTTTAGTCCTTGTGGCACAACATTTTGCAGATACATCCTGGCCCCCCTGCCCAAGGGCTAAAAAAGGTTTGACTCCTAAAATGGTAAACCAAAAAGAAAAACAGAAACTATAGAATTACCCTTTGTATATACCCTCAGTAGTGTGCACGAAGACGGACGGGGACATGGAAAAACTGTCCCCCTATATCCGCTTTCTTCTTCTTCTTCTTCTTCTCCTATTCCAAGAAGAGTGGGAACTCCTCGTGTATATTTCGATGTTGACTCATTTTCCTGGGGTTATAGGTTCGCGCCCGGCCAATTGCCGTGTTCCAATTTATTTCTCCTCTGTCTTGAAGACTCTGCTAAAAATCCGCAATCAAGGTGTAAGGCTTGATTAATCTAATTCTTATTGGTAAAACCTTACAAATAATTAGTAATATTTCATAATATAAAAAATACTTTGCCCAACCGCAGACGTTGGGACATCCCGAAAAGTAGGATTAATTTTTTGATCAATCAATCCTGAATTGGCATATTAGCATGATATTCATGTGAGGTTTACTTTTTCCATAGTAAACTCCATTTTTTTTAAATATTTTTAAATTTTGCCATTTTTCATTTTTTTCAATAAAAAGGAATCTAGAAAATAGGTCCATTCAGTCTTTTCCTGGGACCAATGTACAAGGGTTGTCCCATATCTGATTGACCTCGGGTATTCATAGGCTAGGTTCCAGTTTGAAAAAAAAATCTGAGGATTAGGCATTCGGCTCATTCAATTTTGAAGCTCAGGGATTTTTTTCAGATTTGTTTGAAAATTTTTAGATTTACTGCAAGACTATAAGTGAGAACTTTCTAGTTTTGGCATGCCTTTTCCATCCATGTCACTAGCTGTTGAAAAATTTTCATTCCAGACAAAAAATTGAAAATATTTCTTTATTTTCAGAACAATATTTGTTACATTTTCTATAATTTTAAAAATTTTCAATGGTTACTTTGTTTTCCAGACATAAGAAACTAAGTTCATTTTGCATTTTTCTAAAAGCACTGTTCCTTTCTGACTTTTTTCTTTTCTCTTTAAAAAATTTCTCCAAAGCCTCTGGTTTCTGCTTGTGATATGAGATTTTAGGATACTTCTGTTTTTTTTTCTAATTTTCTGCCTTAAGGTCTGAATAAGGCAGGATAAGAATAGACTAGTCTAAGCAGTGTTAGATGCTGTCCATGCTTTTTTGCTATGGAGTTGTCTCTCTGTTGCACAGGGTTCATTTCTGATTCCCAATGATTCCTATAATTTTTATTCCAGGAAAAAAGTGTTTCAATTCCAAATTTTGAATCATTTTTCACATCAAATTTTTTTTATTTGTAAAAGTACTGATGCATTCCAAATTTTTTGCTCTTCTTCACACAAAGATTCATCATTCTTGGGAAGAATACCAAAAAATTTGGAATGATGCATTCCATTCAAAAAAATCAATCAAATTGGGGTCAAGTGCCTGTACTCTAACAATTTTTTATGTGTGCAATTGTTTTCCTATCACTGGAACGACAGCACGAAAATACAATAATGTAATATCAGAACCATTTAAAAGATTCAGCGTCTTTGGGGGCGACGGGTACTTTCCGAACATCTCTGTCGCACATAAAAAGTCAAGAAAAAAGCGATTTTACAACACGATTTTACGACAAATTACGATCAATTATTTGCTAAAATTTTAAAATTATCTGTTTAAAACGGTTTCCTTGACCCCCGGAAAAAATAACCTATACGTTCTTGATCCCCAAGCAGGCAAAAATGACCCAAGAAGACCCAAATGAAAAGGGAGTGGACGGATTATTTGTAAAAAAAATAAAAATAAAAAAGGGAATAGGATTTTCGTTGACATGCTATACTACAGCATATATGGAACTTTATAGACCTCTTTCTCAGAACGGAATGTCAAGATGTGTATCCCGCGAATGCCCACTTGGGCGGAAATACGAAAGGTAGCTTGTCTCGTCACACTGACAGTAAGAAAACCAAGAAGAAAAAAAACAGAAGATACAAAATAAAAAATATATATAAAAGAAGAAGACACAGATGTTTGGTCAAGTGCAATATCACGCGTATATAGAAGCTGAGACTCTTATCCAGAGACAGGCAAAATATTTGCGGGACTCGTCCAGAGAGAGAGAGAGAGAGAGAGAGAGAGAAAAAAAGAAAACCCCCGGACCTCTGGGGTACTGACCAGTATAAAGATGTGCATGCATTTCCGCAGTGTCGGGGGGTCTTTTCTCCAGCAGCAGATCGAGGGGGGGTGAACAGGGGTGTCATTTCCGAGCTTCCGCAAGAAGAAAGAAACCCCCGCAGTGTGTCTGGGTTTCGTAACGTTGGGGCCGGTCACCATAAAATCGCTGCGCATCGATCCATTGTTTTCATTTTACCACTTTTTTTTTATTATTTCTTCTGCTCCTCTGATTTAACGTTATATATAGCTGTAGCTTTTCAGAAATCAATAACCATTCAATGACTTACTCCCCCCCCCCCCCCACACTTCATCCTTTGTTGTATTTTTCAGTTCCGCTGCGAGTTTTCTGACGAAAACTCCGCCGTGTATATTCCGAGAGTATAAAAAAAGGAAAATTGGCGCAGGAAGTTTTAAGCGGGACGCAATAACTTTTATATTGTCCCCCGGCGAAAAGTTGCCTCGCGAGCTGTTGCTTAAAATCAAAGAGTATTTCAGGAAGAAGCAGTCTTTCTCCCTGATGTGAATGAAACTCGCTGCTGAAAATGTTTCCAGAAACCAAGAGAAGACTTTCGGTAGTGCGGGGTAAATCACAGCAAAGTTATAATATATATATATTTCTCTCCATCAGTTCCATTCAAGCTAAAATCGCAACAGCAAAAAAAAAAAGTAGGGGTAACTTTTGGCGCGTTGGGATTTTGGAAGGGAGAATTAAAGACAGGATCAGGGTTCGAGGCAAAACAGATGAAATGAACATCACTTTTGTACGAATAAAAAAAAGGTCAGTTTCCCATGTAGGTGCAGTTCAAATGTCCCTTCAGGTCAGTTGGCACGATTGGGTGCTCCTCTGGTTCCACTCCAGCTCTCTGCAAATCTTCACTGACCTGCGAATTTGGCAAAAGTTAGTGCAAATCTTGGAGCAAACATTGCTGTTTTCAGAATGTGTTCTCTGAGCTTAGTCAAATGTGTTCCCATAGTTTGAAAATTATATAACTTGAATGAATGAATGAACAGAAAACTTTGTTTGCCGCTTTTTTGCGTTCACAAGGCACAACCAAGACTCCCGCATCCAAACCCCTCCCCACCCAATTTACACTTGCTGTAAAAGAAAATTATCTGTCACACTGCTGCAAGAGTTCACTAATCATTTAAGCAAGGAAAATAAAATAAAAAATAAAAAATAAAATGCAAACTAAGACATTCAATCACTTCAAATCATGAAACAAAGCACAAACCAATGACAAAAACAGAAGAGAACACACTCAACAAAATAAAATAAAACTGGACATCCCACACATATGCTGCATACACCCACCCATCTATATAACTTAACCGAAGTATCATTTGAAATTTACTATAAATTCAAAAATGATTACACAGCAAATTTTCTCAATATTTTTGACCAGAGGGAAATATTTGAAAAATTGCTTCTCATCAAGACTATTATACAGTGGGTTCTCTGCTAATAAGTGCCAAAATTAACAAACTCTACCTACAAAATTCAAAGAACCTAAAAAAAATCGTTGTAGAGAATAATTTTGTTGTGGAAAACCCCTTCAACATATGAACAGAGACCCTAATGGGACCACAGAAAAATTTTTTACCCAGAGAAAATTGCTGTAGACAAGATCATTGTACAGAAAGTCCACCGTTATAACAAACTGCACATAGAATATTATTCTTGACATAAGTCATGCTTTTTTGTTTTCAATTTGTCAAATTGGCAAAGTCCCATGTTTTCAAGCAGCATTTTCTAAAATTGTCAAAAGCTCATTGCGATATACTCTGATAAAATAGTTTAAAACAGAAAAAAGAGGGAAAATGTTTCTAAATTATCAGCTGTTGGTGTGGACCTTAAACTAAAGTTTTCTCGCATTATTTTTTTCTAAAAAGATTTACTTTTGAAATGTCTCCAGCATGGTGTCAGCATGCAGCCCAGAAGTCAAGCACCATCTGTTCAAGATGGATTTGTGTTGATGTGCTTTTTTCAATCTCTTTCTTTTTAACGCAGCATTCCACGCTGTTGTCACCCAAAGATCCCCAGAGAATCATAAAAGTTACATGCATACGCTGTTGGGTAACACATCAATCATTTTTGCGGAAACTTTTGTCAGAAGCTTCAGCACAGGGTGGAACAACGTGTCCGCGGTTGATATACAAGCTCATACTCGAATGTGTCATGGCAAAAAAAAAAACAGAAAATAAATTCAGATAATCTTTCTGAGGCTGAATTTGTTTTCCAAGGCCAACCTTGGCAGCCGACTTTTTGTGGAGCACTTCAAAATTTTTTCCATCATCACAGAAACACAAGAAGAAAAAACGGACTAAAGGAAATAATTCAAAGACAAGGCATCAAGATCCTTAACAATACAAATGGTATCGCATGTTTACAGAACTTATTTTCTTCTTTTGAAGACAATTGTAAATTATTCTTTAAATGAATCGTTAACTCTTGCAGCAGCAGTGGCAGAGAATATAGGTTCACACTGACTGTAAATTCGGAGGGGACTTTGTATCTGTAAAACTTTCACAGTTTACTGAAGATGGAAAAATTCAGAAAATAGTAAAACCTTTCTATTGCTCTGCCAAAAACTCAATAAAAATCCCAATTTTTGTGATTAGAGCTATGTGAACGAGTTTGAATTTTTTCATGTTTTTTCAAAATTTTCTTGGCTTAAATGAATAGGAAACTCTTGCAGCAGTACAAGAGAAAATGCTTACAAAAACTTTAAGATCGGTGGGACTTTGTACCTGTAAAACTTTTACAGTTGACAGAAGATGGAAAAGATCAGCAAATAGTAAAACTTTTCATTGCTTTGCCAGGAATTCAATAAAAATATGGAGGTTTAAGGATTTGGGCTCTGTACAGAAGTTTGCATTTTTATTTTTATTTTTTAATTTTCCTTGCTTAAATGATTATAGTGAACTCTTGCAGCAGTGTGACTGATAATTTTCTTTTACAGCAAGTGTAAATTGGGTGGGACTTTGTATTTGCAAAACTTTCAGTTGGAGAAATTCTGAAATTTGTAAACCTTTATTTTTGCTCAGCCAAAATCTCCACAAAAATCCCAATTTTTTGGGATTTGGGCTCTGTAAACGAGTTACAATTTTAATCTAGAAGTTTTTTTTTCGAAATTATCTAGGCTTAAATGCTTATACTGTAGTAAACTCTTGCAGAAGTGACAAAGAAATTTCCTACAGTAACTGTAAATTGGGAGCAAATTTGAATCTTTAAAATTTTTAAATTCTAAGGGATAATTGGAGAAATTCAGCAATTAGTGAAACTCTCGCTCTACCAAAATCTCAGCAAGAATCCCAATGTTTAGGGACTTGAGCTCTGTAAACAAGCTTGAGTTTCGATTTTAACAATTCTTCTCAAAATTATCCTGGATTCCAAACTGCCATCACATATGGATATTACGAGAAAAAAAAGTGACTGCTGTCAGTCTCACCTTCTCAACTTTGCCAAAAACGCGCAGAAAATTGAGCCCGGCGATCTTCTTGATATCTTCATCTGACCATCGTCGATCTGTCAGCAACTCAGCCAATAAGTAAGGATACCTGGAGACATCTTCCAGGCCTTTTGGCAGCCTGCAAACACAGGAATGTTGGGGGGGAGGGGGGCACAGAACTGATAAGTTTTTTTCGTCCATCTTTTTCGTTTCCCAGAAAGGCAGCAAATCGGATGAAGAAACTTTTCTCCTTCACTTTGTTCTCTTTCTCTCTCCCTCTCTTTTTTTTATATCCATCTCTGCGATCTCTTTATTTCTCTCTATATGTCTCCTATTGGAATGTGCGTGGCTGGAAATTTTCTGCTTCGTCGCCACGCAACTTGAAATCAAGCAACAGTGCTCGAAACAGGAAAGTTTTCGGATAGAACTATGCAATGGGGGGTGAATAGGGCGGATATTTTGATTCAAGGGTCCTTAAGGAAGTTTCGAAAAAAAACA